CAGAACTGGACACAGCTTCTCCCTGGTGTTTGGTCACCATTTATTATCCAACGAATCTGAGACTAAAGCTGGAGAACAGCTCATGGGCCATGACCTAGAGACAGTTCAATTCAGTAGTTAGGGGAATTTCATGTGAAATCCGAGTTCTGTAGGTAATTTCTTGTCATGGAATCAAATATCCTTTTCTCTTCTCAGGCTCCTTCAGAACAGCTCCCTATATCTGCATCAACCCACTCGCCTTGCTTACAAAATGCAAATGCTTGTTTCCTTCCCTCTCCCGCTTCTCAATAACAAAACAATATTACATATAAAATAAGCTTATTGTGCCATGGAACTGCAGTCCGTTTCAATGTCAACTGCACAAATCTCAAAACTAAAGCTCTTAAATCTCTCCAGATTGGAAATTGAGATCAAGCCAGGAAATACTTGAGTTGCTCATTTAAAATCAATGTTTTGTATTGCATTTGAAGACTTTTAGTTTCATCTTACACTAAACTCTCTCCCATCTCCTACACTGGCACAGACAGGATAAACTGATTGACCACAGACAACTTAAAAGACAAGCCTTCACCCCTCCCACAGAACAACAGAAATTTCAACCTGAAAGAAACAATGTGGTAGCAGCTTCCCATGCCCTCCCATAGTGCCTCCGTGCCCACATCTGCCTGCCCAATTCACTGGAAACTCCTTAGTGGAAGGGCCTCAAGTTCCCATGCTTCCACCTTTCATGCTGTGAGTCTCCCTTCAAATTCTTCCCCTGATCGAACTGGCATTTTCCTGGATTGTCTTTGAAGGTCTCTCTCTGCCCAGCCATACTTCAAGATGGCTACAAAGGCAAGGGCTAAAAAAAAAAAAAAAAAAAGGCAAAAAAAGCTGCTAACCAGTCCTACCTTTATTAATGTTTACTGATTTCACCACTGAGCTTTAGGCGACCCACTCTGGCCATCTGTCTCCTCTCTCTTTTTGAAAGCCTGCTATGTACAGATAGTATGAGAAAAGGGCTGGGTTTCTACACACCTGCACTTTCAGCTGCCAGCACTTCATGTAAAATGTACTGCACTAAGCTGGGAACAAATAGATTTATCTAACGAACAAGTTCAACACAGGGATAAATCTGTCAGCCTTAAATCATCTGCAACCTCTCTTTAACGAGAACACGAGGCTTTTAGACTATGCAGGATAACTTTCTGCTCAGCTGGTGCTCTAATGGGCTGTGATCTTGGCTCTCACAGCAGAGAATCCCTACAAGGCTGAAAAATGGGGGTGTGTGGGATCTAACACACCAAGATGTTGAAGGTCACTGACTCCAGCAAAATTCCATTTTATTTCTTCCATTTATTTTCTTCTGAAAGTCATTTTCCATGCTCCTATTTAATTTATGACTGGTCTGACTAGGTCAAGTTGAAAAAAAGTTCTGTTAATGCCCGAGATGGAAGGATTTATGTTTAGAGAAAAAAAAATTAGAAGCAACTGACTTCTTTGCTAAGAGTATAAGCACACTGAACTGTGATTGCCCTTCCCTGTCTGAGCTCAGTTCCACAGGGCACATATCTACTGCATTCAGTACCAACAAGATGGGTCCTGTGAAAAGGAAGGCTTTAATACTCTTTTCCTCCATGGCCTCCCACATTTGATGCTCCTCTGCCAGCACCCCCTTTCACGCATGCCTAGATCAGGACAGACCACAGCCTTCTAACACGTTTTTAAATGCCATCAGAACAGCACTGGAGGTGTTAAGGAGCTGCCTACTGCATCACAAAACTCCACTATGAAGCTTCTGTCACTTCCTTCTGACTGCTTGCTGTTCTTTTACAGAATGCCCTGCATCTGTCACTTGCAAATGATCCATGACCTCTCCCTAAAAAGGCCTGAAGAGCAATCTATTTTGTGATTTTGCAGCCAGCAGATTCATCTCAGTACTTGTTCAATTTTAACTGTTCTCCGTATGACTTTGAAGCAGTGTATCTTATTTGTTCAGCACCCCTTTGAAATGATGTTCATTGCTGTAGCTGCATTTTGTCTAAATTGGAGATGATAACAGCATAAACCTCTTGTGGCTTACGCTGAAAGAATAAACCCCTCATTTAAACTTCAGATCTGTCTCTGAATATACCACGATTCATACTAAATAAAGCTCATTCTGTAGTCAAACCAGCATAGGCTTAGCCATTATTCTCACCTCGTTCACACAGTAGCTTTGTTTCAGCTTCTAACAAAAGCACTGCTGCTAATTTTGGCTATTTTCTTTCTTTCCCCTTCCTTCCAACTTCTTAGTCTATTCTCATGCAACAGAGAAGCTAAGTGGATCAGAAAGCAGGCTTTCCAGCCGCTTTGAGCATTCTTTCTTTCTCAATTATATTATTTAAATATTATTTTTATTATTTATATATTCTTTATATATTATTTAAATGTAAGTTACTGATCATTATAAGACCCTCGTAAACCCTAAGATGGAATGTTATTTTACAGATACCAGCCATGAAAGCATTGCAATAACATGTAACATGGCAGGTTTTCATGACACTTTCCTAGATATTCCTATCCATTATGTTCTGCATTCAGTTAAATTTAATGTAGAGAGGACGCGCATTCAAACCCGATGAACACATTTTCTGGGGCTTAAATAGTAAATCTTCCCTATTTACTCTAGAAAGTATGTTTAGTGCCACTGCTTACTAGTTTCTAACTTAACTCCAGAACAGACTCTTCAGATAGCATTCTCTGTCAACAGCCTACCCTTTAAGAAGTATTTTTGTTACTGATTTCTCAGCTTCTATGGCATAGTTAGTAAGGGTTGCTTAAAGTGAGCCTGAAAATAATTTTCTAATGTTTACACAGAGAAGAACACAAAATCATGAGAAATACCACATGCATGGGTAGCTCAGGGCATACACATCTGCAGTGCTTTTTATCTTCCCCCATGGTGGACAGCTTCTCTCTCTGTACTATTAAAGCTGCTATTTTTAGGCCTTTAATTAAGGAGTCCAGTTTAAAACAGCGTATGCCAACTGTATCATAGCTATCTCCTCAAACACAGCACAAACACAAACCATGGAGAGCACATTAAAAAAACATTAAGGGCCTAACGCATTTGGTACCATCTGACCTGGTCAAAGCTCTGTCACAAGACAGCTCCCTAGTGAAAATACAGACGTAGCTGCAGGTGTTCGTACAGTTCTTAAGGAAACCGAATTAAAGAAAAACTAAACCACACAAGGACTAAAGGAGGGAGCAAAAATATATTCCCTATGGCTACATGGCAGTCAAGGATTTGTACAGAGAGCTAATTTACTTTGAAAAGCTGGTAGTCGGACATCAATTAAAAGCAGGCATGTTTGACAGCCAAGTAGTGAGTTGGTCACCTAACTTGTTAAATAGGATAACCAGAAGATCTAGAAGGGCTTTCTGTGTATATGAAGGCATCAGCAGAGATACATTACAAGGAATCAGGAAGCTAAACTCACCCATTAAAACTAATATTTATGAAATAATAATCATTGGCCCTAGCTTTATACATGTTTTTGCCAGAACACCCCATGGAACTGAAAGTATTTGTTTTACCAATGCAGCCCACTAGAGGTCAAGTTACATCGAGCAGTTTAAAATATATTTAGCAATAAAGGGCAAAGTTTAGGCAACTGTCCTCGTATATATTACTAGAATCATCTGGGTTGCCACATGTATCACAAAGTGACGAGTCCTTTAGAACTTTTGGTTAGAACAAAAAAAGCTCAAAATATGATGGTTGGTTTACAGAGATACAAGACAAATTAAATAATTGTTCCCATAATCCATTAATCAGATGGAATTGATTATTGGATCAGAGAAGTTTTCCTGAATAGAATAGGTATAAAGATTGTTAGGTCAGTTTTAGACCACCTGCTATGATGCTTGAAAATAGTGAAAATGGCAAGCTGAACTAGAAACAAAACCTCATTCTACACCAATGACATGCCAGAAGAACTTTAATGCAAAGAGGTAGATACCATTGCATCCCTCTGTGTAAAACACACTTAGTATCACATATCTGATCATACAGCAGGACTACATCAGAATGTCATAAAACAAAACAGATATAGGTAAATATATATAAATATAGATTTACATATATATATAAAAATATCACCTTGACAAAAATGGAAAAATTCCATACTTAATCAGAAATGCTGTAAAAGCACATTGTGAATGCAGAAAGAGCGCCTTAGGCTAGAATGGTTTCCAAACATTTGATTTTGTGAACGTGTGATGTCCAAATACCAATAAAAGATATCTCATGAATGTCTATTCTCTGGGCAATAGCAAGGCTCAGTGTAACAGTGGTGTCAGTCTGCTTTGTAAAGCTCCAATTTAAACCTCATTTACCTATTTCCTGTGTCATTCTTCCATCCACTTGGAGAAACAGAAATGTTTGCAATTACAGCCTTCTGACTGCTTAACAGTTTCTTGCCAGGTAGGTAGCCTGTAACTTACAGCAGCTTTCCAGCAGAAAGGCACTTAAAATTTTACAGGGAATTACATCAGCCAAGATGATGTCCCAAAACTAGGGCAAAAAAGATGAGTGGTGAAGAACTGTGTTTGCCTGCCTGTTTCTGTGAGGAACCACATTAAAAAAAAAAAAAAAAAAACAAACCACCAGGGCAGTTTTTGCCTTCCACTTCTGTACGGGAAGGAGACTCCTAATGACTAGTCTGCGTTGTTCCTGCAGCTACCTTCTGAATGCTTCCAATGAAGTTGCAAGCTGTAGGTTGGATTTCCTGGACTACCACAAAGAGCTCCAGAAGTAGTGTCAGCATAATCCCAGTATGTAACCCGCAGCCACTGGATTAAACTGCTTTCACCCAGTCCTTCTGCTTCACTAGCTCGGGATACTAAACTCTTCTTCCACTGTTTGTAACTAAGGTGGCACAAGGAAATTGCACGCACAACAGGGCGCTCTCTGAATTACATACTAAGAGAATCAGTGTTCCCAAAAGACTCAGAACTGATTTACGAGATCTCACCTCCTCAACCATGTGCTTGACTTTCTTCTGTTGGCAGTGGACCATATCATCCAGATGTTTGATTCGCTCTCTTAGGCTAGCTGCTACCTCCTCCAAATGCTGTGACCTAGCAAAACGGGGAAGAATTAAGCACAGAAGTGGGGAGCTATGCAGTAGAAGCAAAACAAGAACCACCTTCACGATCGCACCATAAATCAGGAACCCTAGGTCAAGAGGCAGGCAAGCCAAATTCCACCGACAGATGTCAATTTGTCCAAAGTACATTTTAATGGTAGTCTTTTAGTCAAAATGGCTGTCTCCACCCAAGCTAACTCACCTTTGTCTTGCATTCTGGTGTGCTTACTCAGAGCCTGAACTGCTGACAATTAACCAATGTGACAAAGCTCATCTCCCTGAGATGTCTGTTCTTCCTTGAAGTGAAAGGCATTTAGAAAACCAGATCTTTATCATCAGAAGGACACATTTATCCTGACTTATTACCACCTGCAAACTTTTTGGAAATATATACTAAATAAAAGCCAGGAAGCACATCTGCTGGCATCCTTTTAAAAGCTCTCCTACTACAGGGAAGCCTTGAGTCAAGGATTTGGGATAGTTGCCAACAGTAGCAGAACGCTTACCAGAGTAGTATTAACTCATCAACAGTCAGCAGAAATTGTTGTGGATGTTTAAGTTTGTATGTATGATTGTTTAAATAGATTCTGCACTTCTTCAAATCTGTTTAACGCAGTAATTGAACACCCACAGAAGTCCTGCCACAAGTTGGTCTGACAGCTTGCCAGAAAAGTAGTTTCAGAATATGCAAAGAAGCAGGAGGGAAGCTTTTTAATAAGTTTTTGGCACGTTGGCCATGGGAGCCTCCATTTTTATCTGAACATCAATTCCTGAAATTCTTCAAAGCAAGCAATCATGAAATAAACTTCTGTACTCCTAGGCTCAAGACTGGACAAAATTTGAGCAGTGGAGAAGGGGAATCAAAAACAAAAAGGCTTTTTTTCCTTTTGGTCTGTGCACAGCAGAAGAAAGTGTTAAAGCTGCAAATAGAACAACCATTCTAAGGCGAAGCAGCAGATGGCAAACTGTATGACATGATTCCAATGACTGACTGAATTGTATGCTGTTTCCCCCCAGAACGAGTCTCTATTAACGGTGAAGTACTCTACAGAACTGTAACTGCAGCACTTTGACAAGGACTCAGAAGATCCAGGCCTTGCTGCAGGTTTGTCAGCCCTGCATAGTAAGGTCTCACAAAACAGATTTACATTTTGACTGCAATTGTGACACATATTTGGTATCTCATTGAAAGATTCAGAATTTTAAGCACTGACAGCAACGGAACAGAGGTCCTTCCTCCGGTGGAGCTCAAGTGGCTGACTGGGTACAGACAGGTACAGAGAACTGAGAACAGACTTTAGCATCTGAACACAAATTCATTGTTTGCATTGCACAGACTGCAACCGTGTGCTTGCTTGCATTGCACAAATTCCTGTCTACACGTTGCCTTTACCCTTTTTACTGCTGCGAAACTTTTCATGCGGAGGGGACAGGGCAGGATTCACTGAAGTGAGTGGCATCTGTTATCCAGAGGTACAGGAGGAAAGCAATCATCTTTCATCTCCATAGTCTATGTTGTATGCAACATCTGTCACTTTAAATTATTATTTCAGCAGGCTGCTGTAAAAAGCCGTTATTACCCTGAAACCAGATAAGCTGGTCACAGATCAACACAACTAGGTAGCGAGATGATCTTGGCAGGGCCCTCCTTTTATGGTTATGCCTCCTACAGAACAGCGGGATGCGAAAAGCCTTAAAACAGAATTTCTGTGTGCCACAGAAATATAAGTAGCAATCAAACACAATTACTCAGTCTCTGCTTATCATTCAAGTAGTGTCAGATAAACCTCGAGTGGCAGACGCAATTTTCACTCCAATGGCAGTTACACCATTTCAGTGCTGGACAGATTTCTCTTGAAACTTTGCCTCTGGCTTTGCTTGAAGCCTTCTTTGGCCTGGTCGTGGTGCTCTGTCACTCTCAAAGCAGCAGTAATGGATGCACATGCCACCTGTGGGCAGAAACAGCACATCCAGGTGCCACCACACCACGAGATCTTTCTTCTGAGCACATGCTTTTGATAACAAACATTCAGAGCGCTGTCACTGCCAATAACAGCACCCTCGCTTTCCCCAAATAAATTCATAGTTTGTTTCTTCCCTGGGATGCTACATGATAGATTTCTTTCACACCTTCATTTTGTTCATGTGCATATGTTAATGTGCAAAGCACACGTAGACCTGCCCCTCCAAGCCTCAAATCTATTCCCTGCCTTCCCTCTTTTATTAAAAAAAAAAAAAAAAAAAAAAAAAAAGACAACTCTGGCAGTTACATGCCAAATTCCTGCTCTCTTCAAGAGTCCATCTATTCAAAGGGGATGTCCTACAGCTCAATATAGGCTACGAAATGTCTTTTCTCTTAAAACTGTGCTGAATTTGGGAATGAAGATTTAAGAAAAATGCAGTCCACAAATACATCACAACTTGTTCCATCTAAAATGTACTCTGCATGTTTGCAAACAACTTTTCAAGAAAGATGCATGAAAGCATTTTTTGTTGCAAAAATTAATCCTCTTGATATGTTATATGTAAATAAACTTACACTCAGATATCCCCTACCAGACTGCAGTTTTAAAGTTAGAAAGAGTAAAATTCCTGTGTCTTCAAAAACAAACAAAAAACCCCCTAAAGTTTCCTAGCAATACCAGAAGTTCCACAGACAAGACATATCTCACCTTTCACTGTCAGAGTTGTTTTCGGATTTTGCTCCAGATATTTGTATTTCATTTAGTTCGAGTTGTTTTTGCAGCTGATGACGTTCCTAAACAAGAAATGTTATCCTTCAGTTCTTCATGTGCCAAAATGTAAAGGCTTCACAAAGCATATTTCATTGCAATTCAAAAGATCATTTGTGAAATGAAAATAGAAACTGATTAAACAAAATTCATGCACTTCCTATAGCCAGGAGCACAGAATGCATGATAATAAAATCAAATTCCCAGCTATGCATGGAAATAAGATCTGAGTTTTCAATTTCCTACTCAAAGATGTACGGTGGTACTTGAAACTGACTTTTTTTTTTTTATAAAAATGAGTCACCACAATCTTTAACTACATAAATGTCAAATTTTCTATGTTATCCCTCTAAAGAGAACTCTCAATCCAAGGCTGAGATAAGAGGTATTGCCCTATTTTCTTCCCCAAAATATTCCTGTTTATTTTCTAGGTGTCCATCAGCACAGTGCTCATGATGATCTAGAAGGACTTGGGGACTGAGTCAACACAAATTAAGAGGAGCCTGCTATCCACTTGAATGAGTGGATAAAACGCCAATTTAAGAGGCATTCAGTTTTACTCTGCAAGTATCAGCCAGATAAGAGCAAATTAAATAACCAATGTGAAGAAACTCGTTTGTACTTCAGAACGATATTGCAATCCTTTATCCACTGCATAATACTGACAAGTTGTAGGCTGAAGCCCAGATGAAGTTAATGAAGCTACTGAAGGGGCACATGAAGCTGAATGATTTCTCAGTGTAATCGCTAGTTCTACTACTAGATTTGCAAGCATTGGACAAAAGGGGCTCAATACAAACGCACATTAGACTAACCAGTCAAGCCAACAAGACTGGCTTATAAAAATCTATTTCTCAGTAACAAATATTTACTATACTGAACTAAAGCTGGTGAAAAAACACTTGACTTGTAAGAACAGAAGATCGTATTCCCTCCACTTACTAGAACGCTCTCTGTGTCTGTATTTCAGCTAGCAAGGCACACGCGTGTAACGATAACGAGATGCCTGCTACGGAATGAAATGAGAAATGCCAAAGTACATCCAAGAGCATCAGAGTCTTTTGGAAAGGCTGCTCTTACACCGCTTGAAGTGACGCTACTCAGCGTCAGTCATTCTCGGTTAGGTGAGCGATACCAGCAAATGAAGAGGAAATTTCACTGTAACTGTGAGACAGAAGATATAAAGCTTCTTCAGATATCTGAAAAGGTTCAACAAATTGGATTCAGATGCAGCGTACTATGCAAGGAGAAGTACTGTGATAGTCTTAGGCTTAAGAATATACTAAAATAATAATCATCTGACTACTAATCTGAGTTTTGCCCCAGAGTGAAGTCCATAACGGAGAAGATGGAACAGCAGGAAATAAAAAGAAGCAACGCAAAAACTGCTACAACTAGTCTTACAGTAGTGCTGCCAGTGTTGCAACAGGTCAACGTATCAAAGCTCTTCTGCTTTCAGAGCTTTAAAAGTAAATTGTCAAAAACCTGCTCTCAATTACAGTTTGGTAGGGAATATTTAGCCAGGGAGAGGAATAATTAAAAGTTTTTTAATGCTAGCAGGAAAGCAAGAACCTAAGTTTTGGATTAAAAGGCAGTAAAAATCATTTTTTCTTCTCTCCTCTAAATATTCTGAGCCATATTCTAAATAAGATATCTGTGTGGCACATTAAGTGGCTGCTACCCTCAAAACCTTTTAGTCTGGAGCTTTCAGTGTAGCATTTCCTTCACATGTGGAGAAATTTGGAGATAGAATTCTAATCGGGACTACAAACAGCTAAATAGTAAGGTCTATTCCTAACTAAAACACATTTTAATGGACCTACCAACAGCACTCCTAAGAGACTTAGGATCATTTATGATTACTACTTCATTAGACTTAGGAGACTTGCACGGAATGGTCTTTTAAACTCTTTCTTTAAAATAACGGTTAATTTATGAAATAAATTTTGACACCTTAGGTAGCCCTGACTGTACAGACCACTAGAAAGATAAAAGAACCACTTAATCACAGTGTCTCTACGGTAGTCCAGGTCCATCTACTTATGCAGATACAATCACTAAGTAAGATGCAAACAGCAATGGTATGTCACTGAGCAGGGTACTGAACAGGAGGCCAAAAAACCAAAAAAAAACCCCCTTCCTCCATGCACTCTGTATTTCCTTTAAAGGCAGCAATTGACTAACTCTCATACCTCTTCCATGCGTTCAATCAGTCGGTCCAGCTCACCAATTCGCTGGTCTTTTTCCTGTATGCTTGTTTCTGTAATCTGCATCTTCTTATTTGCCTCTTCGATAGCCTTCAGAAGCCGATTCGTTTCCTCCTTCAAATAAGAACATTTACAGTCACATGAACATCCAATGTATGAATGAAGATTTTATTTATGTTTTTTAAGGCCACAGAGCCAGGCTAATAGCTTTTCAGCAGAGCTCAAAGCTTTTCACTATACCTGCCCAGAAGTCTGGAAGAGTTGTGACCCTAAATGTGAATTGTATCGAACAAAAGATTTGGGACACTTTGAAGCGCATAGCTATTTGTAAAGCATAATTATCAAAATCTGAGAAAAACTACCCATGTCTTAGATAGTTGTTTTCTCTTCTGAGGATGCCATGAAGTAACAGCATAAGAAAAATATGCTGTTGCAGAAAATAGCGTTTTAAGCAACAAAGTTTGCTGCGTTCAGCTTTGTACTTTCCTCACATATAAAACAAGAGGAATAGAAAGAGACTGGGGAATCTACCTTCAATGTCAGTCATTATCTTCCTCTATCAGTTAGAAAAATGCAGTAACTAACTGCTCATATAAAGGTTTTACTTGGGGGTGGAGGGAAACTGGGGGACAGGAGAAGTTCTTGCTCCAGTAGTGTCCAGTGAAGTTGCTCCCCCTCCCCTTCTTAAACTGTCGGTAAAATTGGACATTATCTTTTCCTTTTTTTAGAGAATCAGAAGTCAAAACTCCAACTTACTCCATTTCAAATTCTGAAATCTACATTATCATTACTATTACTGTGCTTGAACACATTCATGTCTTAGCTCTACAACCCCAAAAGCTTGGAAGGCTTAGTAACTGTGCCACGACTAGTCACAGAGACGGGAGTGAAGGAGCACAGGTCAACTCTGGAGCACTAAGCGATTGTGAAACAACACCAAGCTAAACACCACTCTTACAGCCTGGCTATACGTACTAGGAGGATTTCTTTCTCAGCTTTATGTTTCTGCTCCTCTTCTCTCATTTTTTCCTCATACTGACTGTACAGTTTTCTTGTCATCTCTCTCATGACTTCAGCATTGGCTTCCTGTGACGATTCCACCTAGGAGAGGGGAAAGTTGACACATCAGTCAGTACAGCACTGCTGGCAGCAGGAGAAACAGAGTTCACACGATATGAGAAAAACACTGAACTCCAGCTCCACCTTGTTATAAATTTGACACTGCTGAAGCAGATTCTCATTTGCATCGAGGCCATTTACAACACTTTGCCAGTATATAAGTCATTTGAACTTGTAGAAGTTACTGTTTCATCAACTTTCACGTTGTCTGAATTTAGCTAATCATTGCTGATCCAAGACCAGGTGATGCCTCTTTACTGAGCCCTTCCATAACAGCCTCCAAGTCACTTGGTTTGCTTCCCCATTGGAAAGACATTGCCTCCCCCCATTTTACAGCAGCATGGATTAGAGATGGTCTAGACTCAACTCCTGTTTCTAAATGACCATGACCACTCAAAGCAGTAATTACTCTAAGCTGGACCTAAGTACGTGTTGTTAACTAGAAGACACAGCTGTGCCCTCCCCTCATCTCTTGCTTTTTCACACACTGCTGTCTGCATAGGCATAAGAACGGGGGTGACCATGGAGCGCAGCAGATCAGGGAACAGTCAAACTTAATACACTGAGGGGTGTGGAAGAGTTAATTTTTAACCACAGGACCAGAAATTTTACTACTGCTACAGGGAAGAGGGCAGGAATGGTAATTGAGAGACAGGATTTCCCCCCCCTCTGTTGGCTCAGAACACTGACTGAACCACACCCTCAGTGATTAAACACCAGATAGGATATTCACAGTTTAAAGCCATCTACTCTGTAAACCCCAATAAAAGCCAAGTAAAATAGCTAGTCCAGGATTTAGTTCTCTTAGCAGAGATGCTATAAATCAGACAAGGTTATAGTGAAATGCTGTGGGTGCTACAAAAACACCAGGAAGAGGAGGAATTTACTTTCATCTGGGAGAAGAATAAAGTGTTCCCTGCTCAACTACAGTTTACACACCTACAAAATACCTGGTTCTGATGATTAAGGTTTAGGGGTTTGGGTTTTTTTTTCATTTCAAGGACTGAAAGATTTATTAAACCTTTGTGTTCATCTCGCATAGTAGGAACATGCTGTTTTACTACCCTGTAGCACAACAACAGGGTATTTCATCTTTTGAAAAGGGACTGAGCTCTGAAGGACTCCACTTGTGCTGCAGCTGCCCCCTTTGGCATCTCACCTAGACCAATGCTGGGGCAGTGGTAGCAACCTGCACTTTGTGAGATGGAGCGCAGTTAAATTAAGTTTCAGTACAACATGAAACCTTTCACATTTTGGGAAGCCTGAAAGAATCATATAATTCAGAAAAAGCCAACAATCAAAACCCAGACTCCTTAAGATACACAGACAATACAGAAAAGGTGAAGTTACTGAACGCTTTTGCTTCAGTCTTCACCGCTAAGGCTGGCTGTCAGGAATCCCAGACCCTGGAGGTAGGGGAGAAAGTCTGGAGAAAGAAAGACTTTCCCTTGGACAAGGAGGACTGGGTTAGGGATCTTTTAGGCAAACTGGACACCCACACAGGCATGGGCCCCAATGGGATGCACCCACAAGTGCTGAGGGAGCTGATGCCTGAGGACTGGAGGAAAGCCAATGTCACTCCAATCTTCAAGAAGGGCAAGAAGGAGGACCCAGGAAACTACAGACCAGTCAGACTCACGTCCATCCCTGGAAGGTTGGCGGAACAGCCCATTCTGGATGTCATCTCTAAGCACGTGGAGGAAAAGAAGGTTATTAGGAGTAGTCAGCATGGATTCCCCAAGGGGAAATCATGCTTGACCAATCTGAGAGCCTTCTGTGATGTCCACTCAGCCAGTCACGCCAAGGGGAGAGCTGTGGATGTTGTCTACCTCGACTTCAGCAAGGCTTCTGACACTGTCTCCCATAAGGTAAGCTTAGGAAGCATATGATAGAGGAGTGGACAGGGAGGTGGACTGAGAACCGGCTGAAGGACAGAGCTCAGAGGGTTGTGATCAGCGGTGCAGAGTCCAGCTGGAGGCCTGTGGCTAGCGGTGCTCCCCAGGGGTCAGTACTGGGTCCGGTCTTGTTCAACATATTCATTAATGACCTGGATGAAGGGACAGAGCGCACCCTCAGCAAGTTTTCAGATGACACAAAACTGGGAGGGGCAGCTGACACTGGCAGACCTGGACAGGCTGGAGAGTTGGGCAGAGAGGAATCTGATGAAGTTCAACAAGGGCAAGTGTAGGGTCTTGCATCTGAGAAGGAATAACCCCACAAACCAGTACAGGCTGGGGGTCGACCTGCTGG